ACCTATGCTTGGACCAAGAGGCAGTCACCAGAACAGATCAGGGAGACACTGGATGGTTCAAAATCAAGAAAGGGTTCCGTCAGGGATGTATTTTGTCTCCATACCTTTTCAATCTGTATGCAGAACAGATCATCCGAGATGCTGGGCTGTACGAGGAGGAATGTGGCATCAGGATTGGTGGAAGAATCATCAACAACCTGTGTTTTGCGGATGACACAACCCCGCTCACTGAAACTGAGGAGGACATGAAGCACTTTTTGCAGAAGGTCAAGGACTGCAGTCTTCAACATGGACTGAAGCTCAAAATCAAGAAAACAAAGATTCTCACCACTGGGCCAATTAGCAGCAACAGTATGGATGGTGAAGAGACTGAGATAGTTAACAGTTTTTGTTTACTTGGTTCCATAGTCTTTACTCTTGGTAACAGCAGCCAGGAAATCAGGAGACGAACTGCACTGGGAAAGTCAGCTGTGAGGGACCTCTCAAGAGTACTAAAGAGCAATGACACCAGGCTGGAGACTAAGGTCTGCCTGATCCAGGCTACAATCTCTGCAATTACATGCTATGCATCGGAGAGTTGTACAGTGAATAGGGATGATAGAAAGAGAATTGATGCCTTTGAGTTGTGGTGCTGGAGAAGAGTGTTGAATATATCATGGATTGCTAGGACAACAAACAGGCTTGTCCTGGAGAGGGTGAAGCCAGAATGTTCCCTGGAGTCAAGGATTCTGAAGCTTCGTCTGACATACTTTGGGCATCTTGGAAGGAGGGACTGGTCCTTGAAGAAGGACATTATGTTTGGGAAAGTGGAGGGACAGCGCAGGAGAGGAAGACCCTCGATGAGATGGATCGATTCTGTGAGTGGAGTGGTGGGAATGAATGTGTTTGAGACGGTGAGTTTGGCACAGGATAGAATGGCATTTGGGGCTCTTGTACATAGGGTTGCTATGAGTTGCAAACGACTCGATGGCACATAACAACAACAACATCCAAGACTGATGTGCTGTTCCAGTGCAGGCTGGGTTCAGAAGGGGTTGTGGTACTAGGAATATCGTAGCTAATGTTAGATGGATCTTGGATGAAAATTTGGTTGTGTTTTATTGATTACGTAAAGACATTTGACTCTGTGGATCACAGCAAACTGTGGCTAACTCTGAGAAGAATGGAAATCCCAGAACACTTGATCATGCTTATGTGAAACTCATATTTGGACCAGGAGGCAGTCATCAGAACAGAGCAAGGAAACACTGCATGGTTCAAAACTGGGAAGGGTGTATGCCAGGGATGTGTCCTATCTCCATACCTTGAAACTGAGGAGGACCTGAAGCACTGCTGCAGAAGGTCAAAGACTGCAATGTTCAATATGGATTGAGGCTCGATATCAAGAAAACAAAGATTCTCACCACTGGGCCAATTGGCAGCATCATGGTAGATTGTGAAGAGACTGAGACTGTTAACAGCTTTAGTTTTCTTGGCTCCACAATCAACACTCTTAGCACTAGCAGCCAGGAAATGAAAATATATATTGCAATGTGAAAGTCTGCTGTTAGAGACCTCTCCAAAGTACTGAAGAGCAACGATGTCAGTCTGGAGACTAAAGGGCGCCTGACCCAGGCCATAGTCTCTGCAATCACTTGCTATGCATCAGAGGGCTGGACAATGACTAGGAGGATAAACGGAGAATTGATGCCTTTGAGCTGTGGTGTTGGAGAAGAGTATTGAATATAGTGCTAAGAGAACGAATAGGTTCATCCTGGAGAGGGTTAAATTGGCTACTCCTTGGAGGCAAGGATTCTGAAGTTTCATCTGACATACTTTGGACATGTTGTAAGGAGGGACTAGTCCTTGCAGAGGGACGTCATGCCTGGGAGGTTGGAGGGACGGCACAGGAGAGGAAAACCCTCTATGAGGTGGATTGATTCAGTGACTGGGGTAATGGGGTGGGTGTGTCAGAGACAGTGACATTGGCACAAGATAGAGCCGGGTTTAGGGCTCTTGTAGTTGCAGGCAACTCGATGGCATGTGACAACAAACAACAACATCCAAAATTACTGTTATGGATTGAATTGTATTTCCATAAGTGTGTTGGTCTATATTTGTTTAAGATGTCCTTGGGTTATTATTGTTAAGTGCCACTGATTTGAATACACCTCATAATGGTCCTATGAACAACAAACCTGAATGCTATCATAACCTATGCCATCCTCTCCATCTCTAACACACATCAGTATGGTAAAAATGATTAAGTGCTTGATTAATAATGGAAAGAGTCATTGTTTGAACTCACCTGGAAGTTCTCTAGTGGCCTAGTGTGTAAGGAGTTGAACCACTAACCCAAAGGCACACAGTTTGAATCCACCAACTGCTCTAAGGGAGAAAGATAGGCAATCTTCACCCAGGCTATTGATAGCATCTAAAAACCCACTGAAGGTTTAGTTATGAGTTGGTTTTGACCCAATGGCACATAACAATAGCATAATAGAAGCTCTCTGGTGAGATAGTCTAAGTTGTGGTTTTTTTGTTAAACAAAAGGCCTCCTTTATCCAGTGGTTGAAATTCACCACTAACTTTGAGGGAGAAATATGGACAATCTTCTCTCAGTAAGATTTACAGCCCCAGAAACCCAATGAGGGGGCCTATGAGTTGGAATTGACTCTATGAAAGGAGTCTGATTTTTAATTTTTTAAAAAAATTTTATTTATTATTTTTTTTTTAGGTTGAAAAGCTGCTGGGAAGAAAGGCCTGGTGATGTGCTTTCTACAAGTGGTAGCCTTGGAATCCCTGTAGAGGGCATACCTACATACATGAGGTCACTGTGTATTCTGGCTTATAGCTCATGACCAGAATCTCTCAATGGGAACTAACTAGCAATACACTGTGGATATAATCTCACCTGGGACTTCGTTGTTGTGCTAATAGAGTCTTATCAGTATAGGGTGTGTCTTAAAGTGAATCACTTCTGCTTTATGAGGAAATTATTTGAGAAACTGGACTTTATGAAGAAGAATGTGACATCTGAGTAGGAGAAAGACTCATCAGTGACCTGCATTATACAGATGACATAACCTTGTTTGCTAAAAGTGGAGAGGACTTAAAATGCTTGCTGCAGAAAACCAAAGACTATGGGCTTTAATATGGGTTACATCTCAACATCAAGAAAAGAAAAATCCTCACCACTGGGTCATTAGGCAACATTGTGATAGATGGAGAAAAGATTGAAGTTGCCAATTATTTTAACCTATTTGAATTCACAACAAGCACCCTTGATAGCAGAAATCAACAAACTAAAAGATGTGTTGTATTGGGAAAATCTACTGTTGAAGACTTCTTAGAAGTTTTAAAGAGAAATGATGAGACTAAGGCTCACCTGATTCAAGCCATGTTGGTCCACCTCACATACTTAGGGCATGTTGCTAGGAAGGGTCAGTCCTTGGAAAAAGACATTAAGCTTGGAAAGATAGAGGGACAATGAAAGAGATGAAGACCCTCAACAAGGTGGATTGACAAGGTGACTATAACAATGGACTCAAGCATATCTGAGCTCATGAGATGGCATAGGATACAGTAAGGTTCAGATCCATTGTTCATGAGGTTGCTATGAGTTGTAATCAACTCAATGGCCTCTAACAACAACATGCTTTAACTGTCTCATTCATTCAACAAATACATGTTGAGAGCCTATGCCCTCTGGTCACTGTTGTGGGTGCTGGATATGTAACACTGAAAAAAACAGATAAAAATCCTTATCTCCACAGTGCTTACTCTTGTTGTTATGTGCTGTCAAGTCAGCTATGACTCATAGTGACCCTTTCAACAATGGCTCTGAACCTTGCCCTATCCTGTGCCAACCTCACTGTCTCCAACACATTTGACTCATTGCCACAGTCACTGTGTCAACCCATCTCATAATGGGTTATCTTCTATTGTGTTGACCTTCTACTCTTTCCACTGACTGGCCCCTTCTGACAATATGTTCAACGGAATTTCAAAATCCTTGCCTCCAAAGAACACCTGATTTCACTCTCTCCAAGACTGCTCGTTTTGCTCTTTTGGCAGTCCATGGTATGTTCAATTCTCTTCTCTAATCCCACAGCTCAAAGGCTTTGATTCTTTTTCTGTCATCTTTAATCATTGTCCAGCTCTCAGATACAGCAAGCATTTGAGAAAACCATGGCTTGGACCAGGCACATATAGTAGCCTTCAGACTGACATTCTTACTCTTTAAGCACTCTAGAAATGTCCTCGACAGCAGATTTTTCCCAGTGCAGCTCATCTTTGATTTCCTGACCATTGGTTCCAAGAGTGTTGATTGTGGATCTGAGCAAAATAAAATTGTTAACCATTTCAGTCTTTTCTCCACCTACCATATTGAGATGTAATCCACATCGAAGCCTGAAGTCTGCAGCAAGCATGTCAAGTCCTCTTCACTTTCAGCAAACAAGATTGTGTCATCTGCATAATGCAGGGGGTTGATGAGCTTTCCTCCAATAATTATGCCACACTCTTGTTCATAAAGTCCAGCTTCTCAAATGATTTTTTCACACAGATTGAGTATGTGTGGAGAAAGGATACAGCTGGATGTACACCTTTCTTTATACTTGGCCATCACTACCAAGGAGAAATGCCAGATTCATGCTGGGCCCTGGACCTGGAGAGGGCTGGAGAACCAGGGAGTACACACAGAAAAGACCAATGTGAGCAGAGACTGAGCCATCCTCATTGATAGAAGTCAGTAGGCTCAGTCAGGCTCTGTGGGTACTAGGATTACAGCATTTATTGACAAATTTGCTATACTGGGGTGGGGGCAGCAAGAGGTGGGTAGGGGTTGAACAGAGAGATGAATGTGTAGTGCTAGTAACTCTATAATTTGAGTCACTGTACAAAAAAGAATTGGCTAACACAGAAGAATTTCATGAAACAACATATGATTAAAAGGCGATGGTCTCTCACTTCTGTCTTCCCTCTTGTCACTGAAGCAGCTCTGTAGCCCGCGCGTCAGCATGGTGGGCCCGCTCTCGTCAGCCTTGCTGCTGTGTCTCCTGGCCAGCCTTCACCAGGTTTCAGCCCAGTGTGATTTCTTACTCAAGTGCACCAAATGCTGTGGTGACAGATGCTGCGAACATGAGGATGTCGTCCCCAAACCCTTGATAATCCTCATCTTCATATTGTTGCTGCTCATCATGTTGGTCCTGACCGAGTATCTCTGTGGAAATTGCAAGCCTTTAGAGAACTCGAGCCCTCCTGTGCAGTATGTGGAACCAATCTCAGTCCTGTCCTCTGGTGACCTACCACAGGAGACCAGTATATACACTTCTGAGCTCCTGCCCCCCTACAGTGAGATTGTGCAGATGCCCTTTATGGACCTACCCCCCCTAGAACCACCCCCACCCTACAGCGCCAGACCTGAAGAACATCCTGGGGTCCCTAAAGACATAACAACACTGCCTTCTGAGCCACACACTCACCAATGACTCCTCGACCAGGCCAGAGACTCCTGGGACTCCTGAGATGCCCCCGCCCATCCTGCGTGTCTCTGGTCATTCTTGGCCTTAACTTATTGTCCTTCCTGCCCCTGTTCCACCCCAGCCACCTCCCTTGTTCCCAAGACTGGGCCAGAGCCACAGTGCCCTGTTCTGCCTCCCACGCAGAGGCTACCTGTAGGAAAATGCCAACTGCTGACATTGCAGCAGAAGCAGCACCCTGCGGGGCCACAAGAGCCCACTGTTGAGGATACACCATCCATAGGACACCCAGCCATGAGATGTTTGAGAAGTCACTTTGCGCTGGTGGGAGCCTGGCTTGGATGGGGATTTTTTGGTTGGAGTTTCTTTAATTTATTTTAAATTTCATTTTTATTTTAAAAAAAAAAAGGCGATGGTGATGGAGGAAGTTCAAGCTGCTGTGAAGGAATTGGCACAAAAGAAGGCCCCAGGAATTGATAGAATACCATTTGACACATTTCAACAAACAGATGCTGGCCTAGAAGTGCTCACCAAGCTGTGCCCAGAAATCTGGAGAACAACTACCTGGCCAACTGACTGGAAGAGATTCATATTTATTTCCATTCCAAAAAAAAGGTGACCCAACAGAGTGTGGAAATTATCGAACAATATCACCAATATTGCATGCTAGTAAAATCCTGCAGAAGATTGTTAAAAAAAATATTGGAACAGTACATCAACAGAAAACCACCAGAAATACAAGCTGAATTTATGGCACTAGAGACATTATTGCCAATGTGGATCTTGGCTGAAAGCAAAGAGTGCCAGAAGAATGTTTGTGTTTCATTGACTATGCAAAGGTATTTGACTAAATTTGAGTAACAAATTGTGGCTAACCTTGAGAAGAATGGGAATCCCAAAACACTTAATTGCATTCATGTGAAACCTATACTTGGACCAAGAGGCAATCATCAGAACTGAGCAAAGAATCATTGCATGGTTTAAAATCAGGAAAGAAGTGCATTAGGGATGCATCCTATCTCCATTCCTTTTTAATCTGTATGTGGAACATATAATTTGGTAGGCTGGACTTTATGAGGAAGAATGTGACATCAGAGTTGGAGGAAGACTCATCAACAATCTACATTATACAGGTAATACAACCCTGCTTGCTGAAACTCAGGAGGACATGAAGCATTTACTGCAGAAGGTCAAAGACTATAGTCTTCAATATGGATTGAAGGTCAACATCAAGAAGACAAAGATTCTTACCATTGTACCAATCAGCAGCACCTAGATAAATGGAGAAGAGATTGAGGGTGTTAAAAATTTCAGCTTGCTTGGCTCCACAATCAACACTCTTTGCACCTGTAGCCAGGAAAGTAAAAGATGTGTTGCTTTGGGAAAGTCTGCTGTCAGAGAACTCTCCAAAGTGCTGATGAATAATGATATCAGTCTAGGGACTAAGGTGCATGTGATCCAGGCCATGGTCTTTGCAATTACATGTTAGCTGGACAATGACCAAGGATGACAGAAGAAGACTTTATGCCTTTGAGTTGTGGTGTTGGAGAAGATTATTCAATATATCATGGACTGCCAAGAGAACAAACAGGTCTGTCTTGAAGAGGGTGAAACCAAGCTTCTCCTTGAAGGTAAAGATTTTGAAGCTCCATCTCACATACTTTAGGCACATGGCCAAGAGGGACCAGTTCTCGAAGAAGGACATCATGCTTGGAAGGATGGAGAGACAGTGCAGGAGAGGAAGATCCCAGATGAGATGGATTAACACAGTAACTAGGGTAATGTATCGGATTCAGTAAGATTGGCTCAAAATAGGACAGGGTTTAGAGCTGTTGTACATAGGGTCAGTATGAGTTGCAGGCAACTCGACGGCACATAACAACAATAACATGACAAAGGATATGCTTACTTGTTAATAGTTTGCTCTTCTGAGCACAATACTTGTGTGTCAGTTTACTGTACTAAGATAGCTTGCTGGTTGTTGTGATGCTGAAAGCTGTACTTCTGGTATTTAATACCATCAGGTCACCCATAGTGGACAGGTTTCAGCAGAGCTTCCAGATTAAGACAAAGAAGGATTGGCCATCTACATCTGAAATTACCAGACTTTGAAAACTCTATGAACAATTCAGAGAAGAATCTTACTATGCTTATAATCTCTTTTATGTAGATTCATGTTGTTACCAAAGTTTATGATCACAAACAGGTGAGTAATGATCTGAGAACAGTACAAGCTTCCTGAACCATCCTCAGATAGTCACAGCTTTTACTCCTTCTCCTTGTATCAAATGGGAGAAACGTTATGAGACTACATTCCTATAAAAGAAGTGTTTGGAAAGAGTGGAAATGTTTAACATCTATACAACCTTGCTTAATCAAAGTAAAGAAAACATGAAAGTGAAGAAAATTATACTTCAACATTAAAAACTCCCAAAATCTTCATGAATGGACCAATGAGCAATGCCATGAAAAATGGAAAAAAGATTCCATTTTACTTGCATTTGCAATCAACATTCAAGGAATCTACAGTCCAGAAATCAAATAATATATTGATAAGAAAAGTAAATAACCCAATGGCAAAATGGGCACAAGATATGAATAGACACTTCACAAAAGAAGAAATTTATATGGCCAACAAACACATGCCTTTGAGTTGTGGTGCTGGAGGAGAGTGTCGAATATACCATGGACTGCTAGGAGAACAAACAGTGTTGTCCTGGAGAGGGTGAAGCCAGAATGTTCCCTGGAGTCAAGGATTCTGAAGCTTTATGTGACATACTTTGGGCATGTTGCAAGGAGGGACTGGTCCTTAGAGAGGGACATCATGTTTGGGAGAGTGGAGGGACTGCACAGGAGAGGAAGACCCTCGATGAGATGGAGCGATTCTGTTAGTAGAGTGGTGGGAATGAATGTGTTTGAGACAGTGAGGTTGGCACAGGATAGAACTGTGTTTAGAGCTCTTGTACATAGGGTCGCTATGAGTTGCAAGTGACTCAATGGCACATAACAACAACAACAAACACATGAAGGAATGTTCAAAATTCCTAGCTATCTCTGGTGGCCTGCTGGTAAGAAGCTATCATTGCAATACAGAAGACACAGGGTTCAAATCTACCAGCTGCTTTGTGGGAGAAGGATGGGCAATCTCCTGTGTGATTAACTACCCTGAAAACTTGTTGGAGGGTCAGCTATGAGTAGGTTCCTATTAAGTGGTACACAATAACAACAATCAGAGAGATGCAAACCAAAGCAATCAGATATTATTTCACCCCAGCAACAATAGCAAAATTCAACAGGGCAGCAAATAACAAATGCAGGCAAAGTTGTGGAGAGATAAGAACTATTATTCATTACTTGTGAGAATGTCAAATGGTACAACCACTATGGAAGGTGGTCTGGAGCTTTCTCAAAAAGGTGGAAATAGAAATACCATTTGATCCAGCTATCCCACTACTGGGAATATACCCTAAAGAAACCAGAGCTGTGACTCAAACAGATGTATGCTCACCCATGTTTATTGTCGCTTTATTCACAATAGCAAAGAGATGGGAGTAGCCAACTGCCCATCAACAAGTGACTGGATATGTGTGGTACATTCACACAATGGAATACTATGCAGCATTGAAAAAAACAAAACTTGTAAAACACTACACAACATGGGTGAATCTGGGACATTAATGCTAAGTGAAATATCTCAGTTACAAAAAGACAATCACCGTATAACACCACTGTATAAAACAGGGTTAACATGAAGAGTGAGGAGAGAATGAAAAAAGAGTGGTTAGATAATGAACACTGCATTAGAACAGATGAGGGGAAGGACTGTCTGAAGGAATGTATGATTAGGCATTAAATGTATGACAACAATCTGGAACAATAGGTACATTACAAAGTGGACTGGAGGGGGGAAGGAAAAATGTGAAACACGAATGAATGAAAACCTAATCTGTAAACTTTCACTAAAATCACAATAAAGTTTAAAAAAAGATATAAAATTATTGCACTGGGCAAACCTTTAGTGGCAGAGCTAGGACTCCAAACCAAGCTGTCCAGAGCTTGTGGTAATTGGTGCAGTTACACTGAGAAGCTGTGAAAGGGTTTCTGTAAACACAAATGGTGTTTATGAAGGTTGTTGTTGTATTTGTGCTCATGTAAAACCGATACTTGGACCAGGAGGCTGTTGTGCGAACAGAGCAGGGGAACAAATTGGTTTAAAATGGAGAAGAAAGTGTTTCAGGGTTGTATTCTCTCTCCATACCTATTTAATCTGTATGATGAACAAATTATTCAAGAAGTTGAACTCTTTGAAGAGGAGTGTGGCATCAAAATTGAAGGGAGATACATCAATAACTTGTGTTATGCAGATGACACAACCTTGCTTGCTGAAAGTGAGGAGGACTTGAAGCACTTTGTTGTAGAAGAACAAGGAATGCAGCCTTTAGCATGAATTGCATTTCAATGTCAAGAAAACAAAGATTCTTACCACAGGACTGATAGACAACATCATGATGGATGGAGAAGAGATTGAAACTGTCAACAACTTCATCTTGCTTGGATCCACAATGAATACCTTTAGTACCAGCAGTGAGGAAATAAGGAGACACATTGCACTGGGAAAAATCTCCAGTTAGAGACCTCTCCAAATTATTGAGGAAGATCAGTTTGAGGACTAAAGGTGCATCTGATTGAAGCCATAATCTTTTCAATCACTTCCTGTTCATCTGCGAGCTGGACAATAAGGATGACAGAAGAATTGATGCCTTTGAGCTGAGGTTTGGAAAAGAGAAATCATAGTACCAAGAATATCATTGCTGATGTTATTGGATCCTGATTGAAAGCAAAGAACACCAGAGGAATGTCTGTTTGTGCTTTATTGACTATGAAAAGGCATTTTACTGTGTTGGTCATAAGATATTATGGCTAAAACTGAGAAGAATGGGAATCCAAGAACACTTAGTTGTGCTCATGTAAAACCTATACCTGGACCAAGAGGCTGTTGTGTGAACAGA